CCCCAACAACATATTCAATATATTCTCTTTGTCCTTTTCCCTGCCATATACTTCAGATTCTTCAACAACTGAAGTCAGATCCAATCTTTCTGTCGTTCTGTAAGGCCTTCCCCTCACATTCTCGACCAAACTGAGTATACTAATCTGTTTGAATAAATCTTCCAATCGACCACTAATTTCTTTCAACTTGGAAGCCATCCCACGTTCAGACATAAAATCATGGAAAGATAAATTAATACAACAAGAGGGAATAAGCTTCTGTACCATACTTGTGCTTGGCCTGTTGGCTTCATGATTTTCCCTTATTTTGTGTAGGGAAGCTTCAGTGTTCAACTCATCCACTAAGTCATCCAGATCATAAGCCAAATCTTCCAGATTTTTCAACCACTCATTCACAGCCCTGTTTGTTGGTTTGCTTGTTTTCAGCATCAGTAAGCACTACTTCCATCATCAACAATGTTTTACGCTATTCTTTCGGCTTGGCGTCAATTCCTACACCACGTAGAAATTTCATTAGCTCGCCAGAGGCCAACTTGTTGAGCAAAACAGTAATTAGTGCGCCAATAAAAACTTCTCCAATAGCCATTGCTATATTTTCTTAAGAAAGGAAACAATGGATGAAAGAGTGAATGAAAGACAATTTAACTTCTTCAGCAGAATAAAAGGAAATTTTCAAGTTGTGGTGGGGTCAATTATCAATCATCGATCAGAGGCAAAAGCACAAGTGTTGGTTTCTTTGTTTGCAAAAACTAAACAACCAGGGCCCATGTGAAAAACCCGCCCTGAAAATTAGCATGCCCTTCTTTGTTGCTTCCTCTACCCTTTTTTTAGACGAAAAAATAATAATAATTGTATATGTAGACATAAATTATTGAAATCAATCCAACCTTTAGCCAAAATTTAATTCATTCATTCAACTTAATTTTATTACAACTACGAAGTGTTCATTACAATTCAAATACTACAATCTTATAAGAGCTGAACTAATAAACTTGATGTCACACTTTAGTTGATTAGAATATCTTTTGATGTAGTTAAAATCCGTTAATGAACTTGATGCATTAATATTAAAATTGTATTTGGCAACAATATACTTTAATTTATTTCTCAAACTCATTCTCAACCACACATTCATATAATAAAATACTCTACACATAAATCCAAAAAATTTTCCTACTTTTTAACCATGCATTCTCCAAAAAAATAGTATTCAAAACTATGTTTTTAAAATTT